TCACACGGGCCGCGATCTTGAGAGCCTCCCAAACTCCCACTCATGAAGTAGTACCTCCTGAGCCGAGTCCGTCCACAAAGACATCCGGCGGGACCGCAGAGGTACGTCTTAAGCCACAGACCCCCCCTCCTCCCCCTTTCCCTCATCATCATCATCCGTACAAATAGCTAACCTTTCTCCGAAGTCAACTGGCGGTGTTCACAACCACCTAGATTCTGACCTGGGACTCTCGGGACTCTCTCTCTCTCTCTTTCAAGACCGATTCTTCCTTCTCCCAGGCGTTGAGAAGAGTTGTTTGGGCATCCTGATCTGTCTACGAAAGCATATCAGTCATTACAGTGTCGTGTTTGTGCGGGGGTGAGGTGGCAGACGGTTATTCATTTATTCATATGCAAATACATATATCTATCTATCTAGGTAGAGAGAGATGCCTGTACCACTCGAGGAGTGTACTTCAATGAAATGCAACTATCGAACTCTTCTCATCTGGGTTGATTATCTTTTGAGATATTGTGCCAAAAAAAAATTATTAAAAAAAATTCACGGGACGTCTCGTCTATAAAGAGGCCTCACTTGCTTGCTTATTATCCCTCTCTCATCCATCCTCTGATCCCGTCAGGAAATAAACCACGCAGCTCACTGCCTCCTCCACCTTCACCAAATGGGAAGAACTTGCCTCCTTGAATAAGTAGACTCGCTAGTCTTTTACGCTCGCTTGCGGTCCCCCTAAGCTAAGCGAGCTCTAGCAAGCCAGGCCGACCCAAACGACACAATCTATCTATCCCCGTAACAAGTCGCAAGTAGCCATTGTAAATTGATCAGCTCGATAATTAACAGCAGAGAGCAGAAGTGTCTGATCAAAGATATCATCCGATATTATGATTGCTATAATTTTTGGGGGGGAGGGGGGGCGTGATATGCATGCGTACTTTACCTATCAAAGGATTCTTGGCATTAATCATTACTGTCTCACAGTAAACAAATCCTCGGGTAAATTTTTTTTTACCTTCGGGCTTGGCAGATATTTGATTGTACCATAGCTAGGAGATGTTTCGAGTGCTATTTACGTGACTTTGTGAATTCGATAACACCCCCGAGTAGCTCATCGAAATGAGAAGGTACATATTAATATTTATATATATATATATGTGTGTGTGTGTGTTCAACATCGAGTTATCATGCTCGCATCACATACTCCCTCCTTGTTTCCCAAAGTTACTTCTTATCCCTCTTCAAACTTCCATCTCGTGATCGGAATTCCGCTATGCAACCAACTACCTTGCTCTCGTATGCCACGTGAGCGCCGCTACTATCCAGCTTTGAGATTAATATACTTCCACGACGACTCTCTCTTTCTTCGCTTATTCAGAACTTAAGCTTTGTCCTTTAAGGAGTGCTGCTTCTTGGGCAGGAATATATATACCTCATGGATGGTCGAGGCTGTACTGAAGCGCTATTCAGGAGGTCAGGAATTATACCGAGATATATTAAAACAGCAGCGGAGTGTCAGGGACCGTAAGGTTATGAAATGCTTTGGGGATGGAAGAGGGCGACGACGGCGTTCATGGTAGCTTAAGGCCCTCCTCCCAAATACTTAAATATACCAGCGGTCCGCAGATGGAAGTTGGCTGTGTAGGAAAACAGATATTCGGTAATTGTAAAGATGGATTTGCATATCAGGCCCAAACATGTAATCGATACAATATGCAGGCAGTCCTTGCAAAGCGTATTGAGTAAGTCGAATAGTAGATCGAGGAGCTATGGTTGCAAGTGAGCGATTGACCTGGCTTAATAAGGCCAGGAATATCAGTGTGTTGCTACCGATGTGATAAAACCGCTTTGGACACTTGGCTAGGAGTCTCAAGCCTTTCTCTTTAGTGTCCCGTGACCTTGGTCGTAGAATGGATTGATTAGGTGATGTGTATTAGGTAAGGTTATCAATTCCCGGCTATCGAGTCCTCCAGCCCCCAGCCTCCGGAGCGCATCAATCTGCGATCATATATACAAGTCCACCCACTCACTTACATGCGCTTTGCTTAGCTTACAAGAGCAGAGCAGCAGCAATTCCACCAATAACCGCAGCAAAGCTCACGCCAAAAATGACAGCGTCAGCAGTGGGGACGGCTATAGCACCGGTTCCGGTCGGCGCGGTGGTCCCCGTCATGCTAGCAGTTGCATTTGCACTGGTCGAGGTGGATGGCACCAGAGACGAGACGGCGACGGAAGGCTCGGTCGCGTTCAGGAGACCGGTGCAGTTTCCCATGGGCGCGACGGGGCAGTCCGCAGCTTGGCAGATGGATTGCAGCTGGGCGCCTTGGGCCGGAACGGCCGTGGCTGGGGCGGCGCAGCGGTAGCCGAAGAGCGTGGTGAGAGCCTGTCCGACGGGGGTGAGGTCTTCGGCCGAGACGCCGAATGACATGGCGGCCGCAGCGACTTGGGAGATGAAGTAGGTGACCTCGGCGTTGGACAGGTCCATGAACTTGTGGACGTTGTATTGGGATCCCTGGCCCGAGTATGCCTCGAAGCCGGTCATGCCTTGCTGGCTGCATCCGAGAAGGGTGCCGAAGTACTCGTACAAGTGGGTCAGGAGCATGCTGGTGGTGGGTGGGTTAGACGAGATGACGAGGAATCTTCTTCATCGGGGAGGTATGTGTGTACGTACTATTGGTTCGAGTCGGTTCCGTTGGCAGGCTTGCCCATAGCCAGAGGAGCAGCTCCACCGTCGTCCAGGAAGTTGATAGAAACGCCGGCCACTCCACCGCGGTTGCTCGAGGCGAGTCCACCGTTGAAGTAAGGCAGGAGGTTGACCGGCGTGCCATTCACCGTTCCCGGAGCGAGAATACCGGGGACGGCCATGCCAGTCTTGGACTCGGAGTCTGTGCGAAGTTAGATGATTGAAGAAAATCGGGTCGCAGGAAGGGTGCTTACAGTTTCCAATGACGGCGGTGTTAACAACAGCAGTCAACAAAGTCTTCTGGTTTTCCGCCGTGTTGTTCGTGAACAGAGCAGTGGTGTACTTGTCACAGAAAGACGGGCTCTGTGCAGCAACAGTGCTGACCATGGCAGCGGCGGCAATGTATTTGGAAAGCATTCTTGTTCTTGCGAGATTGGATGAATAGGGTTGGTATCAAAATAGGATGAATTTGAGGAGAGAAAGCACGTCAAGCGAGAGCCGTGGAGAGTGAGTATGATGTAGGAAGGAAAGAAGGGGAAGAGACTACAAAGGGCGAGCGCCTCTACCTTATAAAAATGGTAGATATTATGGGGGCCAGGTTGCTAGGGAGCTACGCTCTCCACCCAGAACGGTCAAGCTCAGCATAGTAGCAGCAACCGCGAAGTGATACATACCGCTTGCAGCCAATACAGGTGACAGACAGCTTGGTTCAATTGGTTACCCGAGGTAGTTTGTGGTCACTTGTCAAGCTGTTCTCCTCGTACCTGGGCTCTGTATCGGGTTCCCCATCTTCCGGGCTCTTTGTCTAACAAGAAAGTATACTAGTGGCATTCACTATCAGCCTTTGATTAAGCGCGAGCGCATCCGAGTCAATAAGAGGCTAGCTACAATATGAAATCACGCATCACCGATTGGAGGACGTGATGAAATGAGATGTTTAGATTTTGGATTCTTTATGCCCACCCAGCCCAGCTCATTCAATTCTCATTCCAAGCAGTAAGCTCCGAGTACCTAGCTACATAAGAAGCAGAAGGTCAACCAAGGTCGATCAAACCTTCAGCCCCGTCCTCGTTATTGTGTAACCAGTCAGTCACCAAACTCTTTATTGTTCTTCAGGATTCCAATGCCTTTGCCTACCCAACGCATTCATTCATTTTCCATGTCATCTGACCTGATCTCCAAGATGACATTTCATTCCTGTGAGAGTCAAAGACCCGAGACCCTGAGGGCTTACGCCGCACTACGCCCAAAGCATAAGATCGACATCGTTACCCCCATTTCTCACGACTAAGCTTGAAACCAACCGATCCAATTGTATGATCTGTATTTCAAAAGATTGAGACCCGACTAAACTACTTCGGATGTGATAGTTGTACCGGTATTCGTAAGTCTGCGTTCAGGTCGTGAACATCGGGCTTTACCCATACTGACCACACACAATCACTGTCCCATCGACTGTCAATACACCGCTTCTTAAAGTGGGGACGCTAACCGACCTCCATCCAACACGTCTCGAGGCGTAGAATAGAATCACAACCACCTCTTTTTGAAATCTCTTGAAGCTTTTAAAAGAGGAGGAGATGACCTCTAAATTCTATAATTAACGTGTAGTTTATATCAAATCACGCGTGGCAAAGCTCGCAGAGAAGACGCGTGCTTTAAAGTGGAGCACCCTTCGATATACTCACCCGGAATGTAGTGAGGCGGGCAACCGACGAGGCTAGAAAAAGTACCCTTCTCTGAATCTTTCGTAAAATTTTGAATATAGTTTTCAATATATATAAAAAGGCGCCTCCATAGATAATAGAATGGCTTCGTAGCTTTTTAATGCTTTAATCAGATGGAGACATGATATAATAAAAGGTTGACACTTTTGTAATTCTTTTTTCTTTAAAAAAAAATACAAATGATATCGAATATGACATTGATAATTTCGCTTGGCAATGGTTGGTTCCCCTTGAAGTTGACCACAGGCCCTCTGGCGAGGAAACTTTTTCCTATGTTGTGATTAGCTGCCGTGAGTATAACGTAGGTATATGTGAGATTCTATAGGACCGCGGAAGTTTACGCAGGTCTAATAGTGGGACTTGACGTCGCAATTTTAGGGGCCCTTTCCTAAAGTGGGCGAAACAACTATATCCCGCGAAACAATTGAATCCCGCGTCGCTTACAAAATAGCGAAAACATTAATCATATAACTTAATATATATATATATTGGTATATTGTTATATTATTAAATCTTAATAAAGCAAAAAAAAATTATTATATCGCGTGTCTTTCGAATTAAGTTAAGAAAAGCTATAGATTAAGGCCGCAGCGAATCCTGTCTCCCTTTTCCAACCTTCTATTCAAGCTCTTTTCACCATTCAAGCATCATCTCTATCAAAAGTAACGATAACACATAAGAAAAGCACTTACATCTCTCTAAAGTCCGTCGTCTTGACCTCTCCATCAGCTCAGCCGATTTCAAGACCTCCCACGGCTCTCATATGACAATCTCATCATTCCAAGTGATCCTTTCGCCGCAGCAGATTTCCTTAACCCCCCATCCTAATTATGAGGCGGCCCGCTATTCCACCCGATCGTCACTGATCTCGCTCATTGATCCACCTGACCGATATAATCTAAATGACACCCATCCAACTACGAACAGAAAATCGGGCAAGTTGCCCATGAGCGGCTGTAGACACATCATGGAAATAACAAACGGCAGCAGCTATCTTGCAAGAGCGACCAAGCGAGCGAGCAATTCGTGTCCAGAACCACTACTCTAGTCCCAAATCCAGACACGGGGAATGAAAAAGAAAAAGAAAAAGAAAAATGAAAACGAATTAAGTAAAGAAGTAGAGAAATACGAGAAGCCGCTTTGAACACCTTCAATGCATTCGTTCTACATAAGCGAGCGCAGCCGCTCAGGTCAGGGCAGGTCAGGGCAGGTCAGGGCAGGTCAGGGCAGGCCAGGGCAGACCAGGGTAGGGAGGGCTGCGCTGTTGGGATTCTAAATGATATACAAACATGACGCCGTCCGTTGCTTCAGCCTCCGCCCTTTGATCGATACGCCACATTGTGTTATGCTATGCTGCCGCCTCTACCCTTTGCGCACATCCCGACCGGATTTTTCCTTTCCCCGTAAATGGATGGATCCCTTTCCACGCCAGTTGCACACGCACATACATATACTCAAACAAGCTGACTATACCCGCCCCCGGGCCCCCTCCTCCTCTCTCGGGATTTCCACCATTTCCTACCCTCGTCGACCCAGAAGACGCTACTCGCTATCGCCACTAACAGCAGCAGATCGCCAACCCCGAGGCCCTCGGTCTGAAACACCTCTTGCAACCAGGGAAAGTATATCACGAGAACCTGGCCGCCCAGACTCAAGCTGACCGCCCAGTTGAATAGTGTGTTCGAAAACAGGCCAACTTCTCCTCGTAACACGGATTTGGACTCCGAGCGGCAGTTCAGCGCGTTGAACATGTCGAATAGCACGAAGCAGGTGAATGTCATGGTGGTGTCGCGTTTCGTGATTTGATTGTCGCTCGTCATCTCGTGTATGTAGATGCCGAGCGTACCGAGCATGATTATGCTAGCGGACGTCAGGACACGGATTATGAGAGGGAGGGTCAGGACGGGAGCGTTGCGGGTACGCGGAGGGCGGTTCATTACGTCGGGATCGACGGGCTCAACGCCTAGGGATTGGGCGGGGGGACCATCCATTATGATGTCTGAGATCTGCTGTCAGCAGTGGAATAGAAAGATGGAGGGAGAGGAATGAACGTAGAGGGCGAATAGCAAAGCTGAGTGGGGAGGCATACTAATCCACAAAATTTGCATCGCGTTTAAAGGGTTCTTGAATCCGAAAGATGTGCAGAGTAACACCAAGCTGAGCGCCGCAGCACTGGTACTTAGTTGGAATGTAAGAAAGTTCTGAATATTGTTGAATATACCCTTGCCTTCCTCAATGGCTTTGAGGATGGTAGAGAAATCGTCGTCTGTCAAGATCATATCAGCAGCTTCTTTCGCCACATCTGTGCCTTGTCGACCCATTGAGATGCCAATGTCGGCTTTCTTCAGTGCCGGAGCATCGTTCACGCCATCACCGGTCATGGCTACGATATCGCCTCGGGCTTGCAGCGCGCGGATGATCTTCATCTTGTGGTCTGGACTCGTTCGGGCGAATATCGAGGTGTTTGCTATAGCAGCCTCCAGTTCTTCAGCGGACATCTCTTCGATCTCGGCTCCGCTCAAGACCGAATGTACGGCATTTTGGTTGGCGGTGTGCCCTCGCTGAGGGGCGATAGCCATGCCGAGCTTCTTTCCAATAGCCACAGCTGTTGTCTCTGCATCGCCGGTGATCATGATGACTTTCACCCCTCCGCGCATGAGCCGTCGAATCGCTTTCTTCACGCCTGGTCTTGGCGGATCGCTCATCCCAACCAATCCAGCAAAGACGAGACCCTTGTAGACATCCTCGCCATGGGAGACATGGGGCTCTGCTTGTTTGATAGTGGGTGTGCTGCTTCGGCTGACTGCTGAGAGCGATCTGCCATGCCTCGCAACTGGACCACTCGCAAATCCAAGAACACGAAGACCTTCGCTAGCTAACTTCTCAGCGGCATCCAGGGCTTCTTGCCGCTTTGTGGAATCCAAAACCACTTCACGGCCATCCTTTGTCAAGTACGTATCACATCTACTCAGGACACGATCCACAGCACCCTTGATGTAAGCGACCTCCTTGGAGTTTGAGCCTCCATCGTGACTTGCATCCCCAACAGTAACACCCATCCATTTTCGTTCCGAGCTGAAAGGTGTCTCCCCAATGCGATTTCCAAGACTGTCCCTCACATCGTGTTCCTTGAATCGGTCCAGAAGATCCAGCATGGCTACATCAGTAGGCTGGCCAACCCATCTGCTTTGGAGGCCGGAACTTTCCGAGCTTTCGGTTGATGACAATACGGCTATGGAAGAAGCAGACTGGGGGTTCTCGTGTAGCCGATTGAGACACCCGTTATTGGCAATGTTACCAATGCGCAGAATTCGTAGGGTCACTGCATCGGCCTTGGCATCGGCTGCCTCGTTCAGGGTGTCGACATCAACTGGCCCATCGGCACCAAAAAACCACATTTTTGTTGTTGTCATGTGGTTCATAGTCAAGGTTCCTGCCAATGTCAGTCAGTCAGTCATATTGACCTCGTCTAAGTCCCCTTTACCTGTCTTGTCACTGCACACCACATTGACAGAACCCAGTGTCTCCACACTGGGCATCTTTCGTACGATCGCATTATGCCTCGCCATCCGATGCACCCCCAGCGCCAGGGTAACTGTCACGATAATCGGAAGACCTTCTGGGATGGCCGCTACAGCCAAAGAAATGGAAATGGTGAAAATTTCCAGAAGTTTCTTTCCCTGGAACCATCCAACCAACGAGATCACAGCAATGATAGCAAAAGAGGCCTGACTGAGCTGAGATCCAAGGGAGTCCATGGAAAGTTGCAGAGGTGTCCTGGGACTCTCTGTTTCTGTCACACTCGCAGCAATTGTACCGAAATGTGTATTTCCTCCCGTCGCGTAGACAATTCCTTGGCCATATCCAGATCTGACTAATGTGCCCATGAACGCTATGTTCGTGTTGCTGTTCAGCCGTGTATCCACTCCAACGGTTCCACTACCCGCAGAGGCATATTCTGGGGATCCCGGTGGTTCAAGGTTGGCCGATCTCGATCGAGTATTTGAATTTGTTTGCCTCGCCTCGGCGGTTATTCTAACGGGTTCGTTCTCTCCAGTCAAGTTCGATTCGTCGATTGTCAAGTCGGAGGCTTTTGTCACTCGAATGTCTGCGGGTATCCGGTCGCCAGTCGTGAATAACACCAAGTCCCCAGGAACCAACTGCGTGGCCATAACTCTGCTTGATGTGGCCTCTATTTTCGCTTCGGCATCTGCTGTCGCATCCGCCAATCGCTCCTCCTCTGGCGCATCTGCTGCCCCAGGCTGCCAGGTCGACGTTCGTGCGCTTGTCGGTCTCTGCGGCTCTCCGCGAATGAGATGGGCGTGGTTCGGGACCAGATGGCTCAGGGCCTCAATGGACTTCTCAGACCGGTACTCCTGTATGAACCCTACCATAACCACGATTGTCACCGCCACCGTGATACTGATAGCATCATCTGCGTTCCCAACAACAATCGACATTCCAGCAGAGCCTAGCAGGAGGAGGATCAAGGGTTCCTTGAATTGCTTGGCGAATCGCAGCCATAGCGGTTCGGGCGGTTCGTGGGGGAGCTCATTGGGGCTTCCGTTGTGTAATCGAGTGACAGCTTCGGCGGGCGAGAGGCCGTATGTTAGGGAGGTTTGGAGCCGTTCTGCGGTTTCATTTGGGGACAGCCCGGAGAATTCGTCTGCTACTGACTTGGGTTATATTAGCCTAGTCCCTGCAACACGCGCATGCAACCTGACCTTCGCAAAGGACGAGGCTGATCTGTGGTGGCCCCGCGGCCTTGATCTGGCTCGATCCCGCGACTGTGAGTTTGGTCTCGAGGACGGTTCCGAATTGGTGGCATGAATCGTCGGGAGGTTGGACATGGGCAACAAGCTGTGCGGCCCTGGACTCGCAGAGCGCGATGCCCGAGTCCTCCAGCTCATGGTGCCGTCTCTGCACGCTGCACCGAACTATAACGAGCAGCAATTGGTGCTGTCGTCGGGTTCTGCTACCGGCGAGGCATCCGATGGGGATTGGAGCTGTGCCGTCTGATTTCTTGGAGCTGGACTACTGCTGGATCCTTGGTAGTGTAGAGGTCGTGGTCATTATATGAAAGTACTGGATTGTTAGGTCCTCAAATGTGATTGCAGATAGGTAGATAGGTAGTAAATTCAAACAATACGTGTTGTGTTGAGATGAGTTGAGTTGAGCTTAGTGGTGTCGTGTCGACGTGGATCTTAAACATGAAGTTTCAGGGAGAGCTCAGATATGTATGTAGGTACCTACCTATGTATGTATTAGTACCGGTAGCGCGGTACGTACCTCAGCAAGGCATACCACCTACAATACAATACAACACAATCAACCGACCAGGCTAGACTACGGTATTTCGTTTTCATACCTTGCAGAGATGGCAAGTTTACAATTGCTTAACGACTTTACATTCGCCCACGTCTTTCCGCAAACATCCTTCAGCTCAGCTCGAACCGGAAAAGGCGGGCTACCACGTGACTCATGCCTGAGGCCCGCGATGAGGCCTAGCGCCGTCTGAAGCCAGCCACCCCAAAGACCTCGAGGTCGAATTCCTCCTCTCTGCTCCGGCCTCCCTTCCCCTCGTCGTATCCGCAACAACGACGGCGACAACAACGACAACAACAACACCAACACCAGCCTTCTCCTCCGATTATCTCGCTTGCATTTTGCTCATCGCCGCATTGATATAATACTGCTCTCGCGCAACTGTTTCCAACCCTTCGAACAGGTTGACGCGCTCGCTATCCGACTTGCGACGACCTCGAAATCCTGACGCGCCCTCGTCATAACAAACGAAACAAAAACGCGTTCAGTTGGCACCCACCCCGCCCCCCTGATCGTCCCACACCCGCGCAACCCTTCGCCATAGGGCGCAACCCTTCGCAATCCCCTTTTAACCCTCCAGTATTCCAAACATGTTTTACTCGGAGACCCTGCTGTCCAAGACAGGTCCCCTGGCCAGAGTATGGCTGTCCGCGAATTTGGAGCGCAAGCTCTCAAAGAACCATATCCTGCAAGCGAGCGTCAAGGACAGTGTCGAGGCCATTGTCGAACCAAACCAGGCACCCATGGCTCTCCGATTAAGTGGTCAACTCCTCCTCGGTGTCGTCCGAATCTACAGTCGGAAAGCGCGTTACTTGCTGGACGATTGCAATGAAGCTCTGATGAAAATCAAGATGGTAGGTGGCTACACACACTCTTTCTATGCATGCATAATAACAGTACCAGGCCTTCCGTTTGTCGGGAAACAACGATATGCCGACCGGCATCCATATGCCATCTCGCGACGCGCTCATGCTTCCAGATGTGCTTACGGAGGGCGACAATCTGGAAATGCCTCCCCTACCCGACGCGTCATTCCTGTTCTCACAAATAGAGGACGACAGCAGACTCACACGCAAGACTCGCGCCGGTAGCCGTGACATAAATCTCCAGGAAGACTATTCTGGCAGCCAGTTTTTGCAAAACAGCATCGAAACCCAGGACGACGACCTAGCTCTGGAGCCCATGGATGATTTGGATTTGGGCTTGGACTTGGGACTGGACCTTGACGACTTCGACCCCAAGGCTGTTGATCGCAGTGTCGAAATTGGACGAGACGCACCGGCGGCCCGCGCCCCTGAGGATGACTTGTTAAGCGAGCCGAACATTGAGGTACCCGCAAAGGACAGTTCGTTTGCGGGAGGCGGTGACTCGTCGTTGAACCTCGATTTTGGAGGTGGTGACTTTAATAACGACGATACAATCCACATGGCTGACGAGGACGGTGATGTCAATATGATGAACATGGGCGAGGGACCCGATGGTAGACCCGATGGTACCCTCACGTCTATTCCACCAATACGTCCTGAGCGAATTTCCGAGTCGCCCCTTTCCGACATCGACCCGGAATTTGTTGCGCAAATCGAGGCAGAGAACAAGTTGGACTCTCAGCTCTATGAACCTGAACCCGAACCTGAGCGGGATGAGAGCACTGTGGTCCTTCCCCAACGAATCCGCCACAAGAAAGTGATGCGACCAGACGATGAGACGATGATTTCAAATTCCCAGATCAAGACTCAGCAAGAACAACACGAGAAGATCCTGAAACCCCAATCTTCCATTCCTCGTGATCCCGCTCTTCTGGCTTTGATGGAGATGCAAAACAACGGTGCATTCGTCTCGAACATTATGGGCGAGGGTCGCAGTGCCATATGGGCACCCGAACTTCGAGGCATGCTTTCCTTGACCGCGATTCGACAAACTAGCGCTGTAAAGCGTAAGCGCGACAGCGGCATCGCTGACATGGGGAGTGGTGACGAGCACGGCCCCCAAAAATCCCCACGTCTTGACCTAGGCGAAGAAGAGGATCTCGCTGCAGGCCTAGGCGGTGGCGACGTCGACCGCGAAAACACAGCCATCGCCGCAGACAGCACCATAATCGAAATGTCCGGGGACGATGGAAGTGTTGTGCCGAACATCGATGATGACTATGGGCGGGATCCCTCCTCCGGCGCGTCCCCTGGCCCCAACTTCGACGAAACAGCAGCGCCCCTCGTCCATCCTGCCGACAGCGGTCCCGTTTCCCTCGGTACCAAACACGCGGTACATCTCTTGCGCGACCGCTTCGGCTCTGAAGCAGCCAACAGCCCCGACAAGCGCAAGAAAGCCAGTGTCCTATTCCAAGATCTCCTTCCTGAAGCTACGACTAGCAAAGCAGACGCTACAAAGATGTTCTTTGAAGTTCTCGTTCTCGCTACCAAAGACGCGGTGAAGGTCGAGCAGCAAGAAGCATTACTCGGTGGCCCCATCCGTGTACGTGGCAAGAGGGGTCTGTGGGGTGATTGGGTGGAGCGGGAAGCTGGTGGTGAGATTGCAGAGGAAGAGCCAGCGCCTAATGCCGGTCTGGAGCGCTCGGTGGCTCCAGCTATTGCTGCGTAAATCTTTTCTCGTCGTCACCCTCATCAATCATGTGTGGTTATTCTTGTACAAGTACTTTACCGCACGGCGTTCTCAAGCGGTGGAAAAACAAAACGCGGGCGAAAGGCGGCGTTTTTGGATCTTGACGGAGAGGCTTCTTCTGGGCATTGAGCTGGCGTTGCTGGGTAGGCAAGGCGTGGATGATATCCTTCCTTCTGCGGTGCGGACTATCGATTGCGAGGCGGGGACTTGGCGGATGAGTTGGGCGCCGCGGAGGAAGAGAAGAGCGAATGGAAATGAGCTAGTCCTTGTTTGATAGTTATTCAACGACGTTTTGTTTAGAACCTACAATCTGTGTGTGTTTCTACATACATGTACATATGTGCGTGTGTGCTTTTGTCCGTTTTGTTCGTTCTCTATCTTCGGCCTTTAGGTGTCTGGGTCTTGAAAGTTTGGATGTCGGGAGATTATCTGGTATGAATAATCATGACACGCACGAATCGATCAATAGTAAATGAAAGAAAGAATAAAAAAAATTCACCTGTACCGTACATAAGATGGAGATGAAGGAGCTGGAAGCAGCTGACAGCAGCCGAACGATGCAACTGTACCTTCCTTGTAGGTTCAGCGCTTTTCTGGCCGATTTTCCCGTTACGCAGTCCCCCTTTTTTTTCCACCTTTATCCTTTGTTTCGATGTTTTATTGTTAATATTAGCGTTAGGTTTTGTTTTTTTTTTTAAAAAAAAAATATCCATTCTTTTATTAATATTTTTTATAATTTGTTTTATAATATATATATATATATATTCAATGTGGAGGCTGTCGTTATAGGCTGTGGTTATTTGAGATTGTTTTCATTGTCTGTGTATCCTTGGGCACGAAGTGGGAGTGAGAGGGGGAAAATAGCTCCAGCGTCGACTCGTTCTTACGTGGGCTATTGCCCTGCTTAATGCACGAAATCAGGTAACGAGGCAGCTGATATGGCCCATATCCAACCCATACATATCGTATTCCCAGAACATCAACATCCGATGTCCGGAACCAGTCCGGTCGATGCAGCTTGGTATGGACTCCAATCTTGTGGATTTCAGTTGGAAAGTCGAATCTTGGGATTGGTATTGCTACTCTCTGATTATGAGAATGGCGAGTGCATCCTCAACGAGGCGCTCCTTCCATTTTAGATGTGGATTGCTCCTCTCGCCGAGTAAGTTCCAGTTCTTTCCCACCTTCAAATTCTGTTGATACCGGCGGTATATTCTTCTGGACTCGACCTCTCAACTTGTATACCCAACGTCAGCCAGTATTGAACATACCTAGTTACGACATATCAAGCCCATCCTTGGCAATGGCAATGGCCATGTGTGCGACGCCCTCGACAACTCCCTCCAGTTTGGTCTCGGCGAATGAAGCAAAAAGTATCACATCGGTCGTCGGCGTCTTCGATTTCGCCGTATGCGTCACTTTTGCACCTTGCCATACCCTACGCTTTCCCTTATCCTTAGCTAATGTGAGCTTCTTACCGCAGGCGCTTATCCTAGACAGCGATCTTCGCTATACCAACAACCGTCTCCAGGTCCACGGTACAGTGGTGATTACGAAAGTAGTCACGGGTGCAGAGGTCCAATACTATGCCACCCTCAACTATTGCAGCGTCCTCCGGTGGAAGTTTAGCTGCGAAGCGGGCAAGGACCCGGAGACGGGCATGGAGGAGTGGATCTTTTACAACTTCCAGCTGCTGGAGTCCGACTTCCCGGGAAAGGACCAGACAGAATTCCGTACCGAGGTCGAGATAGCCTGCATCGACCCGTCCAGATACCTGGAACCCGATTCGGGGGCACCCAACTTCCCGGTCTTGCGCTGTGTGATACGATACGACGTGCATCCCAGAATCACTGCCCGCTTGAAGAAGGCGGAATGCTACGCCAAATGGAGGAGAGATGTCAACACGGTTGCCAAGTTCGAAGGTGCCGAGCGGAAGGAGTTGATGGAATTGGTTCGAAGATGTAACTTTCCCTTTGGGGAAATGCCCGGTGGTTTGGAGGAGGAGAACGACTCCGAGCCAGAGATCTTTCAGATGGAATTGTGACTGAGTCCTTGACGGGAAGAGGGGGCCTTGCTGGGAAAGTTGCCAATGGTGTGGCTCAAGTACGGAGGAATCACTCCCAAGTATCAGTTGACAATGCAAACATCACGGCTATGGATTGCATGTCCCCAACTCAACTACAAAGTGTTCCTTCCTATGGCTCACTCAATCGACCAGCAGACCCTTCGTAGTCTACGCCACAGCACACAACCAGAGGGATGGCCAAACCCCCAGCCCCATCCCCCGAACATCCAGATAAACCCAGACTCTTCATACCCGACAAGCACCCCGAAATACACATACCCTTGCTCATCACCCGCTGCACATCTCACATCTCACACAGAACCTGAACCTGCAATGCAACACAGCCAGCCAGCCAGCCACCTACCTGACTTAAACAAACCCCCAAATCCTGCGCAGATTATCTCCCCTTCCTTCCTTCCAGAATCCGGAAATTTTTTTTTATTTT